TTTCCACCACCATCACCACAGCGCGGCGTCGAAGCACCACCATCCGCTGGCAGAGCTCACCTCCCGGTCGGCCATCTACTGGCCCGGACTTCAGGGTCTCGTCAGCAACCCCATGGCGTGGCGGGACCGACTCACCTCCAGTAAGTAGACAGCTCTCATCCACGACACGCTTCAACGTCGCACTTGGTAACAACTTTCACGCAAAGCGTCTATTATCGTATATAAGAAATCAGTGCGTACCGCGAAGAAAACACTTTACTTCACCATTACAAATATCAAATAGTTAACGCTGTTTAAGGAAATAATCGCTGTTTGTTCTGAGGATCGTACGAAATACAGAACGAAGAATACTGACTGTTAAAGCAGATGGTACACATACTTACCACCGTGCTTTAAAGGGTTAAAACTAAATGTAGTCTAGGCCTACAATATCTCTCCTTATAAAACCACAGTCGACATGAAGTCTTGTCAGAAAATCCGAATTAAAAGGCGAGGAATCGAGGCTGGAACACCATTTTAAATTCTTCCTTAACTATGAGGATAATTTGAGTTATTCGAGTCGAGATTAAAACGGATTGCAAACATAAAATCCAATAATGAAGAACGATAAACATTCGCAGAATTTTTCTAACCAAATTAGGCCTAATGCTGGTCTCGTTTCTACCGTTCAAGTACAGTCTTTTCACTTCTTCAAAGCTGGTCAGAAGATTGTATCAAATCCAATGACTGGTCCAGAGACGAATCTCTGAATTGCATTAATCAGTCAATCGGACCTAATTATACAAGGACGCGTGTTCTGTAAGTCCATCGAAAGCGCAAGGCAGTTCCTAATTCATTAAACGTTACATTTAAGTAACAGTCTAGGCCCCAATTAACCTTTCCATATCCACGTAAGGATATCCAAAAAATTGAGCTGTGGATTTAAAGAATAAACGAGCTTTGTCTTAGTTGCACACTTTCGCTAAGTTTGAATTTGTAGGAGACATGAACGCTTCGTGAATTATCGGTAAGTTTACCCGGGAAAGAGCCATTCACCGACCGCCGACTTCTTACCTACCTGCCCGCGACGGTACGCGGCGACATCCACGCATCAGGATCGCCTAATATTTAAACATCTGGGCCGTACCGCGAAGAAAGCACAACACCTCACCATTACAAAAAATCAACTAGTTAATCCCGTTTAAGGACATAATGGATACTTATTCTGAGAATCTTACGAAACACGTAAATACACTTTCTGGGCTTAATGGAGAATAACTGAATCCTTGCAGTACGTGGTACGTATAATTACCACTGGGCTTTAAAAGGTTAATTAACTGAGAAGTACTTTACCATAAATTTTTAAAAATCTGTACTGAAACACGAATTCCAAACAGTTCTGGAAATGTAAGAAAACAATGTCCTTGTAATTGTTGGCAAAGTTGCAGAATCAACTCATTGTTACACGGGAATCTACTTTACGTATAGTCCTAGTCTACATGTTTATAGTCTATAGGTCTACAGAGTCTACATACACTATATGATGTCACACATTAACAGCATTAATCTTTTAATTTATATGGACATTTTAACAAATTTAAGTACGCCTAGAAATTAATTTAATTCCTGATTTTATTACAAATCAGTCAATCACTTTACGTGTATGCAGCCTCAGATAGTATGTTTTATTTTTTAACATTGTTAACCACAAAAAATCAACAATGACGAACTTGTGGTGAAATGCCTAATTATTTAACTCAAAAATAAATAAAACATCCGAAATTAAACGAGTAATAACAAAACGAATAGAGAAATGAAAAATACAACAAAATTATATATATATAAAAAAAACATAGACATGTCTAAATACAAGTAAAACAAGGAGATTTAATTATTTTGAAAATAAATTAATAAATCATTAATAAACCAAACCAAATTCACAATTAACGACAATTGGCCTCATAAGAAGAACACTTTATCATGTAGGCCTTAATTCTGTTCCTGCAGAATTTATTTCCGAGCTTAAATTATCGATTATCGATTCTGAGATAGGCTATAGGGTGTGACGTAATTTCTGTCCGCTGTGCATACAAATAAACACATTCGACATTCTTATGTCAAAACTCGAGTCTTGTAGTACGAAGTAGAATTTTACTTCTGAAAATATAAACAAAAATACGTGCTGATATAAAAAAGGACAACGCAAAATTTATATTTTCGTTTGGTTGTTTCTCGGATACAGGCTGAGGACGAGACGGGAGGATAATATTAAAAACGTTTCTGATATGAACTACACTGAAACGAATCAAAATCTTCTTAATTTTTGGCATCACATCTTTGACTACGTTATTTGAGAGTTTGTTTTCATTAGATTATATATAATATTCTGAAAATTAATTATTAATGTATCCACATTGTGAAGGTTCTGAAATGGAAATTTTTCAAATCGCGAACTATCGTAGTTCTCCTGTCCCTACGTGTTCGCACTATCTCGTTTGGTTAACTCTATTAATTAACCAGACAGATTTGTTGTTACCTTTAATGTCTAATGTCTTCGACACACTCCAGAGACATATCTCGAAGTAGGCCACAACCAATTCCTCACCATTCACAATCATCCAGCCACTTCACATTCTATCCCCTGTAGCCTCTACAATTGGTATAGTGTCGTTAAATAACCCAAACAGCAAATATCAGCAGGCGAAATTGTATCCCTAATATTTCAGGAACAACACAGAGGGAATTTGATAACGGGACGCTGAGGGAAATATAGGCGGTCCATAATTTGTACGCTCACTCAACAGACAAAAATATCACGTGTTTATGAGCGCGGAAATAAATGTGTGGGGAATCCCCGGGTAAGAAATCACAAGCCAGCCACGCAACATGGGGGAATCCTACATCATGACATCATCACCCAGCCATAGATCACTAAGCCAATACATTTTTTGACGTCATTGGTGGTTAAAGTTAAAGTTTCAGAATTGTTGTTTTAAGGTGAAACAGAAGATGCGTGCAGAATTTTTTTACTCACAGTCGTGTCGCATCGATGTATGTTTTGCTGTCAGGGACTGTACTGGCAGTTCTATCCATAGCTGTATCAAAACGAGGGGCAGTAAAACAGTTACCAACCCCCACCCCCACCCCACCTTCGTCAGACACCCGTAACAGCGTTCTTCCCCTTGATTAACCAGGAATCAGCTCGAGTCCCTAATTAGGCTATAAGGCTGTATCGAAGGGACGTGACCACAGCCTGCTTATTGTATCGCTCGGCAGGGGGCACTTCGTCATTCCAATGAGCCTCATCGCACTGTTTCGGGCTACAGCCTTCCTTCATGCCAGCATGAGGTGTCTCTCTGTCCTCCCGGCCATATCTGCTTCATATATGCGAGGTCCCGGGTACGAAGCCCGACCACCCTCAAGTTCTTCGTAGTTTTCCTCCGTCCCTCCAGGTAGATATCGTGATGTGCCTTAAATTAGGTCACTTTATAACTTCTCATTAATTAATCTTCATACCATTTGATGACGCTAGTATCAACTATTAGAATTATTAAATAAACCATAAATAAAAATACGATGAAACGGACGAAGAATTTATGTCTGTCTTTCCGTTGCGGATTCTATTAAAACGAACTAAATGAAAAAGAAAAAAAATTAAATTAATTTTAAAGGTGATCTATTCGAAATATTTCTGCTTGAGGCAACATTAATTAAATCGTACGTCTCCTGCCAAATGTTTAGAAACGCACAATGAAATTATCCATGAGGGGGGAAAATTCCCACAATTCAAAAAAGAAACATCCCTTGTCTTACTAATGCTTCGAAGAAAACAAAGTTTAACTGAAACTGCAGGTTAGGTTAGGTTAGGTTAGGTTAGGTTAGGTTAGGTTAGGTTCAAGCCCATTCAGTAGCCCACTAATAGGCCTCTTAAGCAAGTCGTCTGCTTTCGGATTATCATTTCCATCACCGTTCACATGAGCACACATGGTGACGATCTTTGTAAAAGCCAGAACATACATCGCTTTATGCATTAAGTCCCATTCTGATACCTACAGGCAAAACAGCCTTGGACATGGATCGCTTTATGCATTATACCGTAGACAACACGGTCTCCTAATAACCACACACTACATATGAAAACGAAATATAAATTTGAGAAATTTCTTAAACCCCTGGTAATTTCTAATGGTAAAGAACACTGTTTAAGTACGACATGATACCTTTTTGTGAATTAAAGCATTAGATGTACATAAACACGCTACAAATGTCAATATACGACGTAAATGCTAAATCGTCTTTATTTTGGTAGGCTTAAAACAGATCCTACAACCATTTTCATTTGTACACGTTAAAATTACTGAAAATCATCTAAATCATTTTATAACCTACTAGAATTTTATACACATCATCATTAAAATATTTTTAAAATGACTGTCTAGCCTCAGACGTTTCGTAAGCTAAAGTATTCTGGATGTCATCCAAAGTTCGTTTCTCTCCATTTTCCATAAGACATCTCTGAGCATCGAAGTGCATTCGTCTTACGTTCTGATATTTAAAAAGCATTGCGATTGAAGGTAAAATAGTTTTCACGTCTTCTGATGCACAATCCGACAGGCTACATAGCATATTAGCCTGTAATTACGTAAATTTTGATAATTTTACGGTAAGCTAAATTTTTAAAATGAGCTTTTGAGTTTGATAGACTTTTAATTGGCAGACTATAGTTGTAATATGGCACCTCTTTAAAATAATTGAAAATTTTAATTACAAGGTATTAATTCTGATGAATAATATAATTTATATATTCAGGGTAAATACCATAGTAACGAATGGTCTGTAGATCCAGAGGGCTACAGCGGACAGCCATTTTATCCCATTACTTTCAGACCAATTAAATTCGTAGCTGCTCGCTCCCGTCAGGAAAGTCTAGATGTACGTTTTCAAATTTATTTGTCAATATCTTCAGTCGCAAATGGAAGTCATTTCTTGTCACAAACCGCTTTTACGATACGACTCTCGTTCTTCTTTTCGGAACGCTGACTTTAATTAAGCTTGCAACCCCCTGTACAGGCAAGAATTTATCTTCTGAACGTTCAAATACGAACACAGTTTATTTACAGACATGTAACCTCACACCCAGCTGGTCCCCGGAGGGGTAAAG